GGTAGTAGTGGTGAAAGCAAGAAGAATGATAGAGAGAGCACTCCTGAACGAAGTCAAGTGCAGAGTGACAATCTTAGTAGACACGTGCAGTATTCTTCTGTTATTACTACGGTATCTGTCTTTATTCCTGGGAATAGCGTAGCTCCCCCTACGACGCTCGGTCCCGGGGTCCCAGATAGTGGACTATAGAAACATTTTGTGTTTCCCGCCGCACTGAGACTGACGTCTTTTCATTGGTCAGCCGGTTAGCGCGGTCGATGCTAATAATAAAAGCACACACACACACACACACACACATGGACATCAACTTGAGAACAGTAATTAATTCAGGGGTCGGGCTGACAGGCGGTGTTATTCAACGTGCGCAGAACCCAGGCGGGGAAACAAAAGGACCCATCTAAAACAGTTTTTTTGCGAAAAAAAAACTCCGCTATCGCTCCATTTTTTTTTTCGCACGCGCGCTTCGCGCGCGGAAAAACTCCTATAATATAGGAGAGGAAGGCAGAGCAATTCGACCACCTTGTTTGATGGTTTTCAAAGTATGCAGGCGTACTGGAGCATCCCGGGGACAATTTAGGACCCTTCTTCCCCCCACCTTGCGCCCCACCTTGCGCCCCACTTTCATCACGCTCGCATACGACAACCGGGGTGGAGCCCGCTGTCGTACTCGCAGGGCAGGACCACACCATCACGAGGGAGGTTATTTGCCAGGACAGCGCGGGATTTATTCACGGTGAGTCCTGTGAATCCTTGTGTCATGCATGACCTCGTGATGGCAAGACCCCAGGGGTAGGTGCGAGCGGAAATCCGACTACCCCGCACGTCGCAGGCGGGTCTGTCTCGCTGGAGTCAGGGCACTTCTTGCCGTCGGGTGTGCCGTCAGTACATGTCTCAGGCTCTCTTGGGAAGAAATCCGTTTGGAAAATGGTCTCGTGTACGCAGATTACTCGCCAAAAATGCGGATCATAATCTCACCCGCTAGCGAGGGGCCCTCTCCAAGAGGCAGCAGCAGCAGCAGCAGCAGCAGCAGCAGCAGCAGCAGCAGCAGCAGCGTTTGTTTTTGTTTTTCAAACACAAAATGCATGCGCATGTTTTTCGCCTCGTATGGGGCGTGCGCAACGCCAGAACACGCCGATGACGAACAGACCAAGCTTATGGTTTCCAGCATATACTCGGGTTCAACCTTGATGCTGTTGTGTAGCGACTACCGAGTCCAATTCAGCGGTAGACCGAAATCTCCAAATTCGCCGCCGCTGCCAGAGGCATGTGGTGGTCCTGGCTATGGCTATTCATGTCGCACGTGTTTCCAGTTCGGTAGCGGCCTCGCTCTTGAGGTATAGTGGAATTAGTTGTTCGACCTCCCGAAAGGTACAGAAGCAGGTAGGTTATGGGTTCGAGTCCCGACGGAGCGGTTATTTCTCGCTAATTACATCCTGGTCTCTGTTGGAAGCGACGCGCTGCACAGCTCGTTGATTGAAAGGTTGATCGACTTTATAAGTCGCGAGGGAAGGGATTGCATTACCCTTCTCGCGATAAAAATATCTCTGGCAGGAACCGTAGGAGGGGGTCCAACCGTCCCTCCTGTGTGACCCCGGTTGGGTCGTCTGGCTGGTAGAAGTGGAGGATAGGGGCCCGAGAGGCAGACGACAGAGTCCAATAATGGGAGGAAAAAAAAGAAAAATAAAGAAAAATATGAAGCGCAGACCCACGAAACAGTTTGTTGTTGTTGTTCCTCTTTATCTGTTCCACTCCCCCTTCCCCCTCCCATAGGTGCCGAAATGGAATGGATGCGGAGCGCCGTTTTCGGCGAGGACACCCCATCACCTGTCAGGGTTATTACGAGGCTGTTACGGTGAGAATTTACCGCGTGGAATGTTGATGGCGTCCATTGTCGTGTTGTAGTCCATGACACTGCGCAATATTTTTCTCTCCGTCTTCGTCCTCTTGAATTGCCCAACTGGTGCGGTGACATCGCGCCTAGTTCCCCCACTTGTCTCAATGCCCATAACTTACATGGTTGCGGTCATCGATATATTGAGTCGTCTCCGCGACAACAGTAATCTTCATATTGATCGCGCCGTTCGTAACGCCTTGGGCATCATTCTCGCACACTGATGCAGGCGGGCGGCGAGGAGAAAGAGGACAGCGATGATGCAGGAACACATCGCGAGATGCATCCAGGGCGCAAAAGTAAGCTGAAGCCAGGGTTACCTAAGTGTCGAACGAGTCTCAGCAGTGACTACTAGAGTGCGTTCCCTGTGTTATATTTTCATGCTTTGTTCTGCGGGGTGTTGCCCCGTCGGTGATGACCGCTTGATGTATCGCCCTCTTCATACTCCGACGTCATTTCCGCCAAGTTGAACACTCTGGATGCTCCCAAAGAAAACAGAGTGATGTTCGGGTGAGATCGCCATGTAGATCGTAGTCTGCTCGCGCAATTCAGACTAAGCTCGAAGTATCAGCCAATGTATCCAGTTGGCATGAACTCGCATAGTCGTCTTAGCTTTCGTTCTTTAGTTGAACGACTGATCAACATCGCAACGAGGGCCTATTGGTTACAAGCTGTTCACCCGCGCATTTTGTGTTTGTCCACGGCCGTCTGGATCACCATGCGGCAGGATGACGACCCCTTCCTACAAAATCTTAGGGTTTACGTGCGGAGCCAAATCGCGAGCGGTCTTCGCGGAGACCTAGACGGCGTCAAGAAAAAGGTGTGGGAGAGGGTGGACCCCCTCTTCTTCGAGGGGCGTAGACGCTGGCTCGGCCCGCTTTGGAAGAAGGTCAAAGATCTTCCCCCGACCACGCGCTTGATACCCGACGCTTGGAATGGCCACGTTGACGGAGTCGCCGCCTTAGAACACCGCAAGGCTGATACTAAGGCGGCGACTGCGTTCACCTTGACCCGCTTTGCTGGCTGGGAGGGTAGACTCCGGGCGTGGATAAGTCAGCCGGAAGTATTGGAGGCAGGGTTGCAAGACTACCAGGAAGAGAGGGCGTTGCACTACCTATCCTGCATCATCAATCACGTGGAGGAAGTGGGTTGATACAGTAGTCAGCTAGCGAGTGAGGCATTTGTGGAAGGGCTTGCGTGTCATCTCCGCATCCGTGTATGAACAAGTCAAAACTTCCATCCTCCTGGATCTGCACGCTCCTGCGGTGATTGCAGGTTTGAGAGAGCGCGCCGTGTGTTTATTTCTGGTAGGAATGAGTGTGTTGCAGCTACCACCAATTCCTGGCGCTCGGGTCTTGAATCAACCATCCGATTTCATCTTGTTAATGTGTATTCCACGGCCAAGTAGCTGAGGTACTCTCCCCATGCCCGCGCTCCTCTGATCGAACCGTTCCTTATCCCCTCCCCTTGATGCAAGAGTTGTACAAGGTGTACGTGAAAAAGCGCAAGGATTCCGTGGCCGTGGAGCTCTCTTACCCGAGTGTAAGGTATCAGATCACACAACCGCGCGGGCAAGTCCTGTACTACGTTGCCGGGTGGGCGGCCAGCAAGGCTTGGACGCATCAAAGAAGCCACAACCTTTCCGTGTCGTCCAACACAACACTCGCCGGTCCAGTGGGGAGGCGATATGTACTGATTCTATGCTGAGAGATTTCGTAGCAAAAGTCGATTCGAAGAACGATATGAAGAACGGTTCGGGACTTCTTTACCCTACGGTGGAGTGGGTAGAGTTCAAGTATGCCGTGGAGAGGGGCATATTCCATTTTTTGAAAAAACCCATCTTCCTTGCTGCTTGCCTCGGAGACTTGCCAGCCGAGATTGTCAAAGTAGTAAGCGAGGCGGAGGTTGTCAAGGAAATGTGGGGAAACTGCTGCCCCCCTGGTCCTCCTGCCATCGATCCTAGCGTATCTCAAGAGAAGTTTATTTTCGTTGTCGGGAAAATCCTCAACGTCGGGAAGAGTGTAAGGGAGAATACTTCTCTCATGTTCTCGAAGGCCGCGCCTGCTCTGCGGCAACAGCTGAACGCACGTGTCGGGCCAAATGGAGGGGCGGGGGCCGGTAGTGGCGAAGCAAAGGGGGTTCCACAGGGGGACGGGGCCGCAGGAGGGGGCGGGGGGGGCGGTGCAAAGCGCCGAAAGGGGGGACGTGCGCGGAGGCAGGCCCCGCCCACCCTTAATCAGTTCAAGGGGATGTCCCGGGCGGAGGTTAGCGACAGGTGCACTGCTGTAAGACAACATCTCGTGCTCGTAAAGGACGCCGGGATTAAGTAGGGCACCATGAACTCAAGAAAAGATGATCTCCTCGATTACCTGACGGCGTGTGTGGGTGTGTTCAGGCAGGAATCTGTTGAAGGGGCAGGCCCCAGTGCGACAGGGAGTGGTCCAGCCGAGGGAGGATGCGCGGGGCGTGGTGGTGAGAACGCGCGTGAGGGCAACGCCCCGACAGGTAGTGGGGAGATGGTCTCTGTCGGTAGTGATTTTACAACGTCAGAAGTGCCTGCGCTACAGAAGGGACGACGACGGTTACCTTTCCCGACCGGTTACGATGGATTCCTCGCTGTCGGTTTTGGAGGGGGGCCGGAGTGTCTCGCGGGGGTGGCTCTTGAACAATTTTCCGAGGCAAAAGGTGACAGCTGGTCTGTTCGTGGCGTCGGCTTTCGTTTCGTCATGTACCGTTCATGGATCAGGACTACCATCTTATTTGTGTGCATGTCGAAGTTGGCGTGGACGATTCTTCTGGCCACTAGGAGCGCCGGCGTGTTGCGCACCTATGCCGCGTAATAGACTTTCTCGAAGTACAAGTCTTGTGTATGGGTATAAACACTGGTCGTTCCCCCTAGCCGGAGCCATGTCAGTCAGCGGGGATTCTCTTCGTTGCCGTATTCAGCCGAGAGCGTTGCAGTGGCAAAGTGAGGTTGAACTGCGTCCAGTTATTTCTTGGTGTAAATTGACAAGGAGAGCATACAGTAACCATCCCGAATGTCTTCAACACCGGTAAACCAATTTGACCTGAAGTAGCTACCTTCCTACCGCCCGGGACAAGTCATCCTCAAGGCTGTGTTGGTGAAGAATCCGAAGTCGGTCCGATACGTGTACACCCAAAACAATCGACAGGACTAGACTATTGACAAAAACAGAGAGGATATAGGGGTAGCAAGGAACAGAGAGGATTCGTCCGTGAGCATCAAACACCCGGTAATAAAGGCGGAGGGAGATATGACGAACCTCAAATGAAAAAAAAGACAACAGAGAAAACTTCCAACAACACGAAACCAGAGAGATAGAAAACTCGACCACGGGAGCAATACGCCTGCGGGTTTTGCGTGACAGGGAAGTCAAACTCACACATGCTTCCAACACTGTTGGGGCGGGTCTCCCACCCCGATCAAATAAAATAAAAATCAGGACTCGGCTCCGCTCGACAAGCGGGGCTTCAGACTCGCTCCTCCCTACAGTCCTATCTGTTGTATGTGCATGGGCAAGCCCGGTGCTTTCGCAAAGCTGTATGACATGGCACGCTGGGATTATATATATATTATATCACGATTCGTCTAATGAGTCCTACATCT